ACAGCAGGGAGGGCCTAGACACCCCTGGAGCTTAATCCCAGGAGCGGCCCATCCCCCAGAGCAGCTCACGCCCTTCTAGGTGAGCCTTTAGGGCACAGGCCAGGCTAGACCTCACGGACCGGCAGGAACATCACAAGGAAAGACTAGATGGCCCCCCAGACAGTGGCTCCCAGGTCTCTGAGACCAGGGCTGCCCCCACGCCCCTCTGTCTCGGTGCTTCTCAAGCCCTGAGTTCTCCCTCAAAAGGTATCTGAGCCATACTCCAGGCTCTGTGTGGCTTCCAGGGAGACCCCAGGCCCATGGTTGAACCAGGGAGAGGCCAGGCCAGGAGTGGAGCCCCCACACACCCTCACCTGGGTCCCGAACTCCTGAGCTAAGGGTGGCCACGTGACTTTGCACTCAGACAGGTGGGGACAGGGCACGCCCAGGGAGGGCAGCATCCCGGAGCCATGGGCCCTGCCCCCTGCCCCGAGGTGCGGGCGGGCTTCTCGGAGATGGCCCTGGGGCTCCATGGGCCGCTGGCCAGGGCTGCCGCCCAGGTCTCTCCAGAAACCAGGAGGGTCCACAAACACCGCGGCCAGTGGACGGAAGGCGGCCTGGCCCATGACGCAGCCCCATGACTGCCAAGGCACGGAACTCTTCGGGAGCCCCAGACAGTGTGCAACTGCACAGGCACCTCCCGCCCGCCAGCACGGGCCCGGGCACCAGCAGGTGGCGGCTCTCCTTGACGGGCACCTCCCGTCTGCCTGCAGCGGCTGCTCCTAGGGGCTCTTTCTGGCTCTCCCAGCAGCTCCAGGCCAGGCACAGGCGGGCTGCGGGGAGTCTGCGCGTCCCCTCGCCCTGGGACTCCCGAGACGCCCCTCGGGGTGGAGGCAGAGACGGCAGCTCCTCTGCTGTGTGTGTGCCTGTGCCATGCCACCTGCCTTCCCCCAGTCACTAGGGTCATCCCCGAACTCCACACTGCAAGGGAGGCCCGCCTGCCTGCCAGCCCGCCTCCCAGCCTGCCACTGGCTCCCTGGGGCTGGCGGGTCATGGCAGGCCTCCTCATTAGCTGCTAATTGCCGCCTGCCTGGCCTCCGGGTGCTGTAGGCTTCCACCTGTTGACAAGCTGTGGCCGCCCTGAGGGAGGGCTCCCGTGTTGATTACAGCTAATGGTTCTCCACACCCGGCCCTCCTTCCTCCCACAGCGAGGCTCTCCTGTGGCCGAGGGGAGCCAAGGCCAAGAGGGGGCCCCCAGGGGACATGTCCCCCATCTGGGGCCTCCCTTTCCTGCAGCCCAGAATGTGGCCTGAGGAGATGGGGCCTGGGCCCCGGGCTGTATGGCTGGTTCTGCAGGGGCCAGCTCGGGCACTTGTGTCCATGAGGCAGGGGTGCGCCCCGCCAGTTAGGGTCCTGGGCTGACCTCCCAGAGCCTCTAGGTGCGAAGATCCTCACGTGGAAAGGAGACCCGGTCAGCTCACACTGACAGGGCAGGGTGGGCCTGGGTCACAAAGCATGTGGGCATGGGTAGAGAGGCGCTAGAGTGGCCTGGCCCAAGTGCCGTAGGAAACTCGCCCAGGCAGAGTACTCACAGATCCCCGGGCCTCCCCACCCACCTGCCAGGCAGCTCCTGGGCCCCAGATTGAACACTGGGAGCCCATGATGAGCAGGGCTACCCACCCGGCGACACTGCAGTGCTGGGTGGCTGGGACAGTGAGCCCACGGGCCCCGGGCACCTCTCCCACCCTGTGTGCCAGGGCCCCAGCAGGTCCTTTGGACCTTGGAGATCGAGGCCATGTGGCCGAGGCCCGCGTCCACAGTCTGGCCCCTGGAACATGGCGGGGTGAACCCTGCTTCTGCCCAGGGACCTGTGGACACAGCATGTACTTGAAATGGGACACTTAGAAAAAGACCGAGATTCACTGTGGAAACTGCACTTCTCTCCCAGCCTCTGTCAGTCTCTCCCATGCCCAGACAATGCCCCGGCCCAGGGTCAGCTCCTCCAGCACACACGGCTCTGGGCCAGAGCTGCCCACCGCTCGCTCCCACCCCACCCACCTCTCTGAACCCCGAGGAGTTCCAGGAGTACGTGGAGATGAGCACTGTGCCCGCTCGGGGTGCCCGCCTGCACCTGCACCCTGACCACCTGTGGAAAAGGCCGGTGCCACTAACATCGTTCCAGAGACGGGGGGAGGGGGGGGGGCTCGGATTAGGCTGGGCCCTAACCCAATGGCAAGTACCATTAAGTGACAGAGAAGACACACGAGAAGGTAGCCACGTGGAGACGGGCCAGTCACCCTCAGCCTGCAAGGTGTGGACGTGGGCCTTGAATGGGAGTGGCAGTGGATGCAGAAAGGACAGACTGCACACGCGCATGCACGCGCCTGCAGGGAGAGCCGCGACCCCTAGCCACTCCTCGGCTGTCCTAGGTTTTACTCTTACAGAGCAATGAGGGCGTGTGGGGCGGAAGCAAAGCAGGTGTCATCTAATGCCTGAGGACGGCATCCATGTGCCAGGCCTTGCAGCCAGTGGTTCTGAACAAGCCCACCTGGCATTTTCTGGAGGAGACCGTCTCCTTCCACCTCGCTGTGCAGCTGGCCTAGCCAGTCTACGGGCACCGCTGCTCGGCTCAGACTCTGGCTCCCGACGAGACTGGAGCAAGGCCGCCACAAACCGAGGGCCACCAGGGCCACCAGGAGCGGAGAGAGCAGCCCCTGGGGGGAGCACCCAGCCTCCAGAGCCAAGAGAGAATGTGTCTGTGATCTTGATCCCCGGCCTGCGGAATGGCAGTCCCCGACACCTCCACGGGGCAGAGTCCTCCGGGGGCGGAACTCAGACCCCAGCCCTTGGGAGGGACTGGGCCACTCCACCAGCCCCAGTGGACTCTGGTAGCCCAGAGGAGCGCGGAGCTTCCTCCCAGCCAGTGGCCAGGGCAGCTGCAGGCACCTCAGTGGCGGGGGCCGGGGCTGCTCGCACCCCACAGGGGCGCCCACTGGCGCTCACAGCGACTCAGCACCCGCGTCACCCCGCCCCCCGCCGTGTAAGCCCTGCTATTCCCAGGGTCTGGGGACTCGCGCCTGGGAAGCGCCTGGTAAATACCAGCTAATGATGATGATGAAACAGTCTGCAAAGCACAGCACAGCCAGGGCCCCAGGGGCCGCCGAGGGGAGACCCTGCGGCTGCGGCCCCCACCCTCTGCCCAGAGCAGCCAGTCTGCCCTCCTGTGTGCACGAGTGTGTGGTGAGACCACACCCCCGGCCACGCTTCCTGAACCAGAAAGGACTCCGTGGGCCACCATGTCCTCCAATGGGGCGACAGGGCCAAGGGGGTGGAAACGGCCTCTCGAGTCTTCGGAGCAGCAAGGGGGCTCCTGTCTGGTGGGCTCCTAGCACCCCTTTCATTTGAATTTCTGTATTAAGACCTAACTCACATACCACGCGGAGTTTCTGATGTGTTACATTATTCATACTTTAGATGGCAGTAAAAGACACGTAACATATAATGTTGGATGAGAGTGAGCACAGGAGGCGAGAAGGGAGAGACAGGCAGCTGGCAGGGTCTCGCCCTCTGCCCGGCCTCCCAGTCAGCGAGGCCCACGGCGCGTGCTGCTGGTCCAGCCGGTCTAGCTGGGCCAGGGTGCAGACCCAGCCCGTCATGTGACCCCAGCCTGCACACAGTGCCCTACCACTTGTGCCCTGAGGAGGGGCCTTTAGCGACCTTTTATGATTATTTGCTAGAGGGTGTATACTCCCTGTAGAGGGGCAGAGAGAGGGAAAGTGAGAAATCACTCCCCCAGGAGGGATGTCCTCTCCACAATCTCTTCTCCATTCTCCTCGTGGGATTTTGGGCACGCACACACACGCGCTGGGCATGAAGCGGCTGGACTCAGGACTTGAACCGAGCAGTCAGCCGTGTGGGTCCACTGCCTTCACCTCCACACCCCGTGCTGCCCCAGCCTGCTTTTGGTTTTGCTGTAGGCATATGCATTCATGGAGAGGGACAGAGAGGTCCGAGGGAGTGAGAAACATTCCCCAGGAGGGCTGACCACGCAGTCCCTTCTCCATGCTCCTCTCAGGACTTTTGGCATGCACACACATGGGCATGTGGGGCGTGTCAGTGCCACGTCCCATGACGACCAGGATATGTGGCCTGTCCTCTGCTGGCGTCCTCTGCTGGCCCGACCTGCACCCCTCTCCACAGCACCCACTGCCTGCTCCTACAGACTTAGGTTTCAGGGGGGCAGACTGAACCCCCCAGAGACCATCCCCTGCTCACCCAAGTCCAGAGTGCTCCCGGAGGCCAGCCCCAAGGCAAGCCACCTCTAGCACTGCCCTGCGTTTCAGTGACAGTTCTTTTGTGACCGGGGTGAGCTTCTTCAAATTTAGGCACATCTCAGACCTCGGGCGGGATTGCTGGCCAGAGGGATGTGGCACCTGGAAACCCACCTGGCCCAGGCACCAAGGAAGAAAGTTCTGTCCAAGCCAGGGCCCACAGGAAGGCCGCAGGCAGGACCTGAGTCACAGGTGCAGCAGGGGCCAGCTGCAGAGCACCCAGCCTGCCCTGGCTCCTGGCTCCTGGCTCCTGGCCTCCTGGCTCGGCATGGCAGTTCTCTGTAACGTCCTGACAGCGAACCCCCAGCTGTCACTGAGCGCTTCCCAAATCGCGCCGGGCGAGCGGCAGACGTGGCACAGGTCCCGTGGGCCCCTTCCTGAACCCCGACCCCACGGAACCACAGATCGCAAGAAATCGGTACTCCCTGGCCCCCGCATTTCCTTCGGGGGGAAGGCGGGCGTCCCTGAACCCCCGACACGGGGCCGGCAGGAAAGCAGCGGGCCACCGAATAGGCCGCGCTGTGCAGCGGGGAGCTGCGTCCCTGTCTACGCTGCCGCTCACACCCGCCCCGCGCGGGGAGGGAAGGACGCTGGGTCGGCCCTCGGGCCCGCCAGCAGAGGGCGCGCGCTCGGCAGCCCCGTCGAACGAGCTGCGCATGCGCGAGGGGCGCTTTCCGGCAGCGTGGCGGAACAGCCTCTTCGTTTCGCGCCGTTTGGCGACGCCTGCGACAGTGTGGCCGTCATGGCGTCGCCCTTCAGCGGGGCGCTGCAGCTCACGGACCTGGACGACTTCATCGGGCCGTCTCAGGTGCGCGCCGTCCGCACAGGAGTGAGATCCGAACTCTTGGACCCCTGCCCCAGGCTTCAGGGCCTGTCTTGCTCCTTACCAGTAGGGAAACTGCGGCCAGAGAAGGCCGGACCCCCCACCCCAGTTCCTGTGCCCGCCCGTGGCAGAAGTGACTGGCCCGGGCGTGTGGGAGGCTGGTCGCCCTCACGGTGGCAGCTCGGCCTCCCCCGCCGTCCACCCGA